ACTGTCTTCACTATACGGAATATAATGAGTTAATTTAATCACATTTTTTACTTAAATATGTGGTGTGATACATTTATACAATTACAACAGGATTGTACGGTTATGAATGCATATTAAGTTAGTTATGATGTAGTTTAAACAATATTGGATGATAGTCATTATTTTGGTGTGTTTTGGACTGAGATAAATCATGGGTCAAAATGTACCCGCGAACACCATGAACGGTAACAGCTTTCGAACACAACACAAGGGTTGAATAAAAATAACATTTTCTGATGCCCATCTATATTCTAAGGGAACTTATGATAGTGTATAGATGACTGGTTCATATTTTAAACAGCTGTAGTTAAAGGTGAAAAACAGCAGAGTATAAATGAGTCATTTTACGCAGAATTCAAACACTGCGTTGGTGTGTGTGTGTTAGAGTGTGTGTTTGTGTACTCACTCTGTTGGGGTGTGCCTGTATGGACAGGGCTGTGTTGACAGACAGGACCTTGAAGAGGAAGGGCAGCTGACCCTGGAAGGTGTCTTTGACCTTGGAGCCCAGGCAGGCGGGGAAGTGTGCGATCCACTCGCCCAGCGTGGTCTGAGCGATCCGGTTGTCTTTGATCTGCGCATCTCCTTTTGGGTGGGCACCCATCCACAGCTGGGAGAGAGAGCAGAGGGATAGGTAAAGTCAAATATTGGACTTTCAAGTGAGTGGGTTGAGGCAGAAGTGGACTAAAGGTTACAGATGCAGGCTTATGACTGGGTGATCGTTCAAAATCCTGATCTACTGTAATGGGGAAAATACAAAACTGAGCTGAATCCAGATTAAAAGTTGAACAATTCCAGAAACATATGTTGAAAAATGTATGACATGCGTGTTGCTTCCCTCCTTTATCTTTGTTAACAAGCTTCTTAAGGGAGTCCCAGTTGTCCCCTTTGAGAAAGAGACCGAGTATCATGCATTTAATCAATTTATCTAATGTAATCCAAAGTGATTTACATCCAGTAAGAAGGGAAGATAATCCTGTCCATCTCACTGAGTGTAAATCACTTGTGAATGAAGGATACTGTCTCAAGGACACACACTTGTTGGTGGACAAACAACAGGCCACAATGAAGCTTCATCCTGTATCCAAAGTTAGGTATGTGAGAAAAAAAGGTTGCTACAAGTGCTACATTCTCAAGAAAACATATCCTAAATTACCCAGAAAACAGGATATTACGTTGATGTCTAAGACAAATCGATTCAATAAAAACACTGGAATGTAAATTAATAAATGTAAAGACAAATATCATGATCAATTCTAACCTAACATATTATAAAAATAGGTAAAACTATTATGTTGCAGATGTGCTGAAAAATAGGTCACATACTGTAATGTAGGTTTTAAATCCATACCACCCTGTGACCACCATTAATGTCACTATAACCACATGGCACGTGACATTAATGTTGCTTGTGGTACGCTTAAATGTCACAGCCTGAACTAATGACCTTCAAGACAAACCCTGTAGAGCTGCTGCAGCTAAATAAAGAAATACGTAAGAGAAGGCATGGAGGGAACAAGGCTCTCTGCCAACACACTTAGCAAGAAACACTGGTTTAAAGAGGGAAATATATTTCACACAGCTCATGTGATTGGTCAAACTTGGAAAGAATGATTAGTGTAATGTGTTAGTGTGAGCAACATTCATACATCTTAAAGACACTATGAAGCTGACAAGATTACCATCTCAACACAATAGCTGTATCTTAAAATAACTACACCATCTTTCAACTATGTTACGGTGCTTTAAATAATATCAGTCGACCTAGAACTGCTGTTGAAATTGAAATAAAAACTATATTACTGAGGGATTTAGAATAACAGTCAAAATCATTCTTTTACAAGCTTCAATGTGTAGTCAAAAACGATTTCATGCACTTTATACTTCCTGTTTTTTTATCAGTTATTTGAAGCAGTACTACTCCTAGTAATACCCTTACCTCTGCATAGGGCTTGCCCTCCTCAACCACAGCGACCGGGTCCCCCCCCAACACGAGTTTGGCCACCTCGCTGTCCAGCCCCAGCTTCCCCCACGCATAATTCTGCACGGCACAGGTCAGCGGAAACACTGGGGACGGAAAGACAACATTTATTGTGGGAATCCTTAAAACAAAACGTGAATACAGAACTGAACCCAGTATATTCCAGGGGCCTCTGATCCCTTTACAACTGTGAAAACACACCTCTCTTTTGTTACCCTTCCTACAGGTGTACTGAGCATCATTTTGTCTGCCTATTAGCAAATTGTTACTAAATAAGAGAAATAAGTGTGCAATATGTAGCTAGTTAAAAATATAATAATTACTGGCTGTCTTCTTAGATGACATTGTTAATACTCTAACAAGAATCTGTACTATATAATGTTACCTCTGTTATCTAGCTTCTGCCACACTTCATTCTACATGTTAAACTTAAAAACATAAATACTGCTGCTACTACTACTTTCCTACCCCAATATGTACTTTGCAAATTGTAATATTTCGTTTCTACAAATGTGTTCCTAGTGTTTTTAATTTTAAATATTATATATGAAAACAATCTGAAAGCACTTCTTCCTAAAAATACAGTATGAACTATGATAAACTGGATTAGTAGTAGTAGTAGTAGTAAAAGAGGAAACATTCACAATATTTTCCTGTGAAAAAGCTGTGTATTTGTCTGTGAATGTG